CGGCAGCAGTAGCAAAAGCAGCAGCAGCAAAAGCAGCGGCAGAAGCAGAAGAAGAAGAGGAAGAAGAAGAGGAAGAAGAACAAGAAGAAGATAGAGAAGAACTCACTATGAAAGACTTCAAATTTAATATAACTCAGTTTGGGTCTAAAATAGACCTAAAATTGACAGGGGCAGATACATATGTTGCTTGGGAGGAAGAGATAAGAAGGAAAGTGGACAATATAGAGGCCACAGCTGTTCTTGAGGGCCAACAAAAGGGACCATTCCAGAGATTTCCACCAGATGGTCAATCATTTCCATGACCACATGACCCAGCCGATAATTGGGATAGGACATAGTATGGTCAGTGTCAGCATCAACAAAGGCAGAGCTAAAGAAGATGCTGCCGTCAGAAGCATTTGAGCTGCTAAGGAAAAGATACTCGCGATCAGGGGCAGCAACATACTGTATAGCTGGGGCCAAGTGGATAGCTATTCGCCAAGAGTCCCAGCAGCCTATCGAGGGATATATCAAGAAGTTTGATGCCCTCCGTACGGAAGTGGAGATGGCTGGGGTCAAGATTAACGAAGAAATGGCCATGGTTGTTTTTGTAGCAGGGCTGAAGCAGAACTTTAGCAAGGAGGCCTATGCAGAGCTGCACCGGCAGAAAGAAGAGGTTGACATGGAGACACTGCGCCAAACGCTGGTGCAGTATGCAACATTTGAGAAGACCCAGGGGCAGACGAATAAGGAGAAACAAGTGTATCCGGCAGAAGCAGGCCGAGGGTATTCTCAAGAGAGAGGCCTATCTCGAGGTGGATTCGGACGCGGTAGTTATGGACGAGGGCGAGTAATACCGGCGCATATGTACACTGGTGCTATCTGTCAGAAATGCCAGGGGCAGCACAGAACAGAGAACTGCCGGCAGCAAGGCCAAGGGCCAAAAGACGATAGGGGAGGTGCAGGCAGAGCTGCGCAGAGTGTGCACTCAACGATCCTGGCAGGGGCAGTCAGCTATGCAGAATGGCTACTTGATTCTGGAGCATCTTGTCATATGGCCAAGGAGAGGCCTCAGGGCCTGAGCTGGGAGGGCCAGGAGAGAGTTATAACAGCCGCGGGCCACACACTGGCGACCTACGGACTAGGGCAGATGAAGATAGGGCCGTTGAGTCTGAAGAACGTTCGATGGGTGCCTGGCCTTGATAGGAGCCTATTATCGA